CCTAAGTGGCTATAGTGGTAATCTTATTAGTAGATCATAATTTTGTCCCACATTGTACCCACCTCATGATTTTGTATCCACTTTGTGACTGATTTCTATAAAACTTCCTCTGTAAAGTGAGGTCTGTGGCAACCCACTAGGGTTCCCTCCTGCCTCTCAAGATGTATATCTCTCAATAAGTTCTTCCTACTCCTAACCTCCATTGTTCCATAGAATTTATTTTTCAATTTTGGCGAACATGAACTCAATCTAGTAGGTTGAAAGTTATAGTATTTCCCCTATATTATTTGGAAGTCCCATATCATAAGGACCACTAAAGCTTATATTTTAAACTTTAAATACTCAGAATAATTGCAAATTCTAAAAGCAGAGGTTCAATTGTCTGATGCAAAACATTCTGAATTACTACATTTTGTATATAAACTTTCACCTTCAGAAATCTCTTCATTTTGATTTCAGAGATAATAATACCAGAGTCAAATATCACTGCTACAGACATAATCTACTGTGGTTGTAAATCTTACTTTCTTTTCCTGAGAACTGCCTTATTTCTATATTCCTCATCAACTATTTTGCTAAATTTAAAAAAATGAGAGAGAAAATAAACTTTGATTCTCACCATTCCTTTAATTTAGTAAGGAACCCAGAAATCTGTAAAATATAAAATTTAGATATAATAACTTAGTGCTATTTTAGCACTAAATTAGAAATTAACTTATGCTTTCAGGGATTGACCCTCAAGGGAGTAGCGCAGAAGAGAACACATCAGAACTGTGGCTGTAGATGATCTGAAGAAGGCTGGGCCTCAAGGTGAAGATGCACTGACCAGGCCTGCATGCCTCCCTAAAGGATAAGCAGTAACTTGGAATTATACTGTAATTAGCACCAGTTGGTCCTGGAAGGCCAGACATCAGTCACCCAGTTGGGTAATCAGAGCATCTGGAACCATCCTTCTCAAAAATACGTTTATTCCTTGCTATGTGACTATTTCCCTATTCAATCAATATAAGCTAAAGGGCTATACTTAAAAATCTATAGGTTGACTGTAGTTTGACCCACATTGTGCCTAGGTTGTGATTTTGCTGTATAAATTACCCTTGACCAAAGGGCCTCTGGCCACTGAGGAAGGGCCATCCTGGAAATCCAGGAGCTATTTTTCTCCCCTGATTTCCAGTAAAACTCTCCTAACTTCTTTGTTTGGTTTATGACTTCATTCCTGGATGTTGTAGGACCACAAACCTGTCACATCTAACAGGTTGAGATTCATATTTCTTCTATATCAATGCCAATAGGAAAATGTCATGGCAGAGGATTTGATTTAACATTGAAATACTTCTTACAACTGAAGAGGATCAGAATATGTCATTCTAAAATATGCCACTTTGGCATAAGGGTTATTTTGAGCTAAAGGTAACTGAAAATTAACTAAAGAAGGAAGAGTTCTCTTTCTTCCCATTTTTTGCCTGAATTAGGATGTAAATTTCTCTTTGAGGAAGGTATCCCTTTTTTCCTACTCTACTCCCATTCACTGTTACCAATGGGAAAGAGTGATTTAGAATAAAAGATGGAGATCTGACAACAAGATGAGCAAAGATCCAAAGAAGTGAACCTTAATAAATGTGAGTCAGTCTAGTAATAGTAAAACTCCTGAAAACAAAAGACAAAGGGAAAATCTTTAAAGCAGCCACAGAGAAAGAATATTTTACTTTTAGGAGGAAAATAATTAGAGTGATAGATTTCACACCAAACACCAAGGCCTCAAGAAGGATGTGGGAGAACAGTGAAAGAAAAGAATTAGCAATCCATAATTCTATATCTGGCAAAAGTATCCTCAAGGAAAGAAAGGACCATTGAGACATTCTTGGAAAAAGTAAAACTAAGAATTTTTTGATAGTACACTTACTATGAAAGAATACCTAAAGAAACTTCAAGAATGAAAATCATGAAAGGAAGGATCTTCGAACATCAAGAAAGAACACACCATGGGATAAGTAACATACACTAGGAGCTCTGTAGGGGGACTGAGGAGGAAGGACCGCTTGCACAGGATGGAATAACATCACACAACAATGTGAGCAACCTGAGGGTGGACTGTGACCAGAAGGGCAACCTGCATGGCAGGACCACCATCTTTATTTCATAGCATGGTGTCTGATTTTTGGCTTGCTTGCTCTGCACTGAGTGAAGACCAATAGTCTTGGGTCATATATAAAATAAAAAGTTAATGTACATAAGTAAAAAAAAAATTCTTCTAAAATATCTCAATTCATCAAATTATTTATGAAAGAAATGATACAACAATCCTAAATTTAATAAGAAAATTTGCATATATGCCTAATACAATAAATGCCTGCAGTGGATTGACTAATGGTCAACTTGTAAAGCCCTGCTGAACTGAATCAGTGTGGTCTGGGTAGAGAGGATCCACCTAATTGTTACCAATAGCCATAAAAAGAGAACGAGAGGGAAAAATGTTAGCCTGTTGATATTTTAGGAGAAGCTTGCTGAGGATCATTTCCCTAATGCAAACTAGGCTGTTCTTATCAGAGGAAGAGCTCAGGTCTCACTGTCACTGGGAAAGGCTGCAGTTCATCAAGAGAGCTCTGATGTTTACTGTGAGCATCACTTCCTGGCCCCAATGTGGATCCCTCAGCTTGGTGGCACAAATCCTTCATCTCACCAGTGTAGATTTTCTGCCTTCTACCACTGATCTCTGGCCTTCCAAGGTACAGATCTTCAATACAGACAAGCATGAGACATTGCCGTGAGCTCTAGGTGACTGTCTAGACTTGTGGAGGACACTGCCTTGGACTCTAAGCCTTTAGCTGAACTTGTGTGGAAAATTGCTGGGATCCAGACCCTCAGATAGATTCCTTGGGCCCCTAGTCAGCAGTTAAATCTCTTGCATTCCTTTGCATTCGACTTTTTGGGTAACTATCATAAAATAATCTTATAATCTATGTGTCCTCTAGTAAATGTACTCCCTTGCCAAATCCTGCTGACTACAACAATGCCTGTTTTCACTCTCAAGTAATGTGTCATAGGTTGGCTTTTGCAGTATTTTCCTTACCAGGTCACACAAGTGCACAGAATGTCTGATTCAAGCAGGCTTTGAATAGGATGACTGTATGTGGCTGGTGCAGGAGGGAGAGTCAGCACTGCCCTGTGCTCTTCCCTACATGGCATTCTCTTGGCGTTGCCTACTTTGACTATACTTGAGCACCACATGAGACACAAAAAATATCACTAAAATTTACACAATAATGCTAAAAATTTACTGTGTTGGAGGGCCTCATTACTAGCAGTCCAGGGTCACATGTAGCCTGCAGGCCTCACAGAGGATGTGCCTGATTTCCAGAACACATTTGGGTCCCCAGTATGGCAGACCTGTTTAGCTGCTCACCCACAGGCAAGACTGCCCTTCTTTTGATAATGAAATTATGACTTTGTTCAAAGCTGGGGGTTATATAATTCAGGGGAGCTTCTTTCCTCACTGGACCTACAGATTGAAACATGATTAATCAATCCCAATTGTGATTCCATTCACTTTCCAATACACTTGACCTTCAAATTTGTGTGTTCCATATCTATAGATTCAACCAATGCAAGAGCAAAAATATTCTTTAAAAATACTGCATCTTTACTGAATATGTACAGACTTTCTGTTCAAGTCATTATTCTTTAAGCAATATAATATAACAACTATTTACATAGTGCACATTTTGTGTTAGGTATTATAAGTAATCTAATGATGATTTACAGTATTTACGAGTATGTGTGTTGGTTATAAGTAAAAATGACCTTTTACATGAGGGACATGAATATCAATGGATTTGAGTATCTATAAGGGCTAAAAATTAATTACCACAGATACCAAGGAACAACTCTATCTGGACTTGAGAGTAATTCTAAATAAGGATTCATTAACAAATACCATTTCAGGGACTCCTGAGAAAGCTTTCCCAATAGATAAAGAAAAAAGCACGCAATGGAATTACTCTTCCCTTTTTCTGACTTTGGAAGTCACTGTGATTTCTGAAATGAAACAATCAACTTGAGACCCAAAGAGCCTGATCATGAAGACAAGCGCACAATAGCAAATAGATAGAAAGATGGAAACAAAAATGTTTCTTATGACATCATTGAAGACTTTCAAAACTAGTATTAAATCTATCTTTAGATTCATGTTATGTGAAAGTTATTTCTTATTTATTTCCCAAAATTCTATCATCTCATTAAAATGCTAGAGTAGTCCGTTAAGTGAATGTACTATAATTATGCAATGATCACCCTGTAAGTTGATTTTGTTTATCTTTTTCCTCATTATAAAAGATGAGACAATGAACATCTCTTAATACAAAACTTTCCCTGAATTTAGGGCACACTTCTCATAGACTCGTTGCCAAAAATGAAATTACTATGTGGAATTATATAAGCATTTAAAAAAAATCTCATGATAAGTAGTACAAATTGATTTCCAAAAAGCACACACTAAATAAATTCCTACCACCCATGTGTGTGGCCTGTTTTAAAGCATTCCTTTCAGGAGTTATTATTTTCCCTTTATTTTTATTGATAAAACTTTGCTTTAAAAGTCCTGATTAGTTTGAATTAAAAATTTTTAAATATCATTTTCTTCTTTGAATCTTTTTATATAAGGCGAGTTTTACAAACTCATAAACAATTCAAAGGAAAATTCTGTTCACATCACCCATTTTTGTACCCCAAGGCAAAACTAAAAACTACTTATAAATCATACTGGACAATGGAAAGGAAAACAGACTGATAACTGTTTCATTAATGAAGACTAAGTTAAATTCTAAATAAAATATGCTTAGTAGTCATCCCTTTTCAAAATAATTCGAGTTGAACAGTCTTGAAGAACATTTTCAAAATATTACAGTGGTTTTTACTTTAGACTCTACAGTAAGAAAAATATTTAATTAAAAATGATCTTCATATAGACTGTAAAAATAGAAGAGCATTAAGTATGTACTTACAAATCAAACACCAAGTAATGAAAGCCCTCTTCTGATATGCTGTCATGAAGTCGTACTGGAAATAAAATGAAGAAAGAGAATAAAGTCTGCATTATATACTCATGCCAACACTCAATATTAAGCCCATCTTCTAAAGGGCATCTTGCCTAAATAAGAAATGTTAACATAGATTTTTATTTTAGCCCAGGATAAGTCAGTATCCTTTACCAGTTCATACAGACCCAAGGTTTTGGTTTAGGTTCCAAAAATTATTTTAAGTCCGCAAGTATTAACTTAATTTATAATATTATTATATTAATACCTGTACTTCATATAATGGTTCAGATTAAATGACAAAATAAAATTAAATAATGCATTATTGCCAGGTAACTATTGCATAAATGTTAATGACTGTTATTCTATATATCCAAAATCACCAAGTTCTCTCAATTCTACTTTCCTGCCTTTTACTGTCACCACTGCTTCACCAACTCATGCCATGATCACTGCAGCAGGGATAGCAAGAGGGGTCACTGGAGTCTGCTACACGGCCTGCCTGCTGCCTCTACTCTCCTGCTGGTCCTGAAATTTCTATATAGCACATATTACCCAACCTACCAAAGCACAGTTTTTAGGGAGGAGAGAGGGAGGGGAGGAGAAAGGGTGGTAAAAAGAAGTAAGATACAATATGTACATGTACCAACCCACCACAATACATATAATCATTATGTACTACAAACATATCCTAATTAAAATAATTCAAAATAAAAACTAAAAACTAAAACCAGTTTTATGTTCTTTACTCAACAAAACTCATATCTCACTAGCTGAAAGTGAATACTGAGAACTTTACTGTTTAAAAAAACATCTATGTTTCTTCAAATTTATACCTTTTCCAATGAGTTAAATTTACACTGATAATTCTATCTGAAATCAATATATGCCTTTTCTGAACTTAAAACACTAATTGATTCATGTTAAACTAAATCAAATATGTATATCTTACATACTGCTTTGTCCATTTATTTTTGCACAATCTCTTCTCTTGATTTACCACCCCCCCACACACACACAAATAGCAATTCTTCCTATTCATCCAAATCTCTTGCAGAGATGGCTTGATCTTCATTGTGGGCAAGAGAAGGCAGGGGAAATTACAAAATTTCAGAACATACCTGCTTTCACAAAAGTCACTACAGAAAGAGCAAAGATTTCTACTGTAATATATTCTTAGTACATTCCTCATGCAGTGATGACTATTATATGGAAAATGTCTATTGAAAAGAACATTTAGGTTATCATAGCAACCACAATCATCTGGAGAGGCAAACAATAGCACCAATGAAATTCCCACTTTCCATGCCTTCCAACCCAATTTCATCCCCTTTGAGTCATGTGGTGACTAGTGTGGTGTGTCAATTTGACTGGCTTTGGGATCCAACCCAGGTATTGGAAGAACACACTTCTGAGTATGCCTGGGTCGGTCATGGATTTGTGACTTTGGATACCCTATTTGGTCCCTGGCCTGTTTCCTTGCTGGTTCTGCTCTGCTTTTCTTGGCCACTATGAACTAACCCTGTTTTGCTCAACCATAACATTTAGCCATGATGTTCCTGTCTTGGAGCAATAGACCATGGACTGCATCCTCAGAAACGATGAGCTAAATTAAAACTTTCCTCCTTTAAATTATGGGTGAGTAGTATTGTGTCTCAGCAACACAGGAAAAGCTAACACAGATCTCATTGCTGGCCTACCAAAAAATCTTTTAAATTCCTTTTTAGAAAAATTCTCCAAGGTGGGGAAAGAGAGACTTGCTTCAGTCCAAATTATACATAATTACTTGTAGAATGTGGATCTGTCTATATTTAAAATGAGGAAGAGGTTTATAATGGAGGAAGTTGGGATTGTAGCCAATCTGAGAACTGGACTATTTTGCTCGAGCAACTGAAACATGAACACACTGAGTCTCCTCCTCCTTCTCTTACTAGCTTATTGTAATGTCACTAGTGAATTCATGGATACAAACATATTTTATCTTTGTTACATAAGTGAAATACCTTTTCCTTCATCACAAAGAATTTTCTTCTCATCATTGTTACTAAATTGGGATCATATATTTAAGTCTCTGCATCTCACATAGAAACCTGGCATATGGTAAAGTCATTTTCAAATGTTTACCACATCAGAGTTTTAGACAGAAAATTTCACCAAAGCCTGGTATAACTATTCATGTCTAAAATAAAATGACTGATATGCAAGCAACTCTTTTGTAAATTCAACTGTGTGAGGAGCATTCCTCAATTTGCAAGTATCAGAAATGCTGCTTACCTTTGTTGAAACTTAGGCTGCTGAAGAAAAATGAAGAGCTTTGTATGACAACATATGTTCTGCTCATAATTACTTAGCATTTTAAAGAGAAACAAGGTCATGACCTCTATCTTAGTGATTTTCCTAACACAGTTTCCAAGACGCCTAAGTTAGTGTTTAAATGAGTTCAAGTAAAAGTATGGCTACTTAAAGAACTCACTGAATTATTCTGGAAAATAAGTTGGTTTACCATGTTATCACAGCTAAAATGAAAGTAAAATTTAAATGTCCAGAAGGAAAACACTACATTCTTTCACTTACTCAAGGAAAATGTTTCCAGTTGGGATCTTAGGGGTGCTGCTCAGAGTTGTACAGCTAAAGAAAGAAGGCAATTTCAGGTACAAGGAGCAGTACTGACCGTAGGTCATAACAAGAATAAAGCTTTCTTAGTACGACTTACCACTACCTTAATCACACTTATAAATGATCAACATCTGGAAATGAAATCTTTTTGACCAAGTCACAAGTTGCTAAAAATGCAAGCCTGATGATCACAACAAAATCCCTTAGCCAACAAACATGTGATAATGATTCAAGACAAACCATTTGTCTAAGCTCACTCCTTTGACATCATGCAAATACAAAACAATCTCTAGTATATCTTAGAAGTCATTTGACCATGTGAGATTAATCACAACAAATGATACTACAAGTGTCACAGAAAAATAAACATCATCTTTAGTTGGGATTACTACATACATATTTCTTTTCTTCCTTTATTCCTTCCTTTCTTATGCTCTACCTTACTTCCACTGTTTGTAAAATAAACTAGAAAAACATGATTACATGGAATCATTGTGATTTTCACTTACTATCCATGCTATGTGATACAGTCTTTTTTTTTTTTTTTTTTTTTTTTTTTTTTTTT